AAAGTTCTTCTTAACAAAAGAAAAAGAGCATTAAAGTGGGAACAGCAAGTCTGGGGCTTGAGTCAAGGTCAGAAACCTAAAGGTTGGCGATCTGAAATAACCCAGATGTGCCTTGAAGAAAGGCCTTGAGATCTGCTTCCGAAAGGTCACGGCCATGAAAACCCTCTGGAGCACACAGTTCTCTGCAACACGTGAGGTTGCCATGAGTTAGAATTGATTTGACGGTAACTGGTTTGGAGTTTCGGTTTTTACAGTAACTTAAAGGAAAAAGAAAAGTTAAAAAGGTCAGTAAGACAAATTTAGGACTGCTTGATCATTTATCACTTTAAAATTCTCTTTCCTGCCCCAAGCCTTGGAGATTTAAGGGTTTTATCTTAAAAATGCTGAACACGTTCCTTTGTGGGTTAACTGTCTTCTCACCATTTCAATCAAACTTAAAGCACCAAATACGTCATAATTTTCATGGGAAAGTTACGTTCTTTGCTTACAGGAGCCACTAAAAACCCTAAAAAAGAAAATAATACTTTACTGGAGGACAAAGATACCCAAATTAATTGAGAGAAACACATATTAATGAATTGGATGATTCAAAACCATTCATTTGTATTAATCGACATAAATATTGGTTGCCTAATATTGCTTGAAGTAAGCCTTGTTCATTTTTATCTTTGATAAGCAATTGGTGACAAATTTAATTTGATCATTCATTCATTCATTTACTGAACAATAAATTTTTTTTCAAAAAAGAAAAATAGTCTATTAAATGAAAATAGTCCATTAAATAAAAAGTTAAGAAAGAGCATATAAGAAAACGCCAAGAAATGTGTGTCAGAAAGGTGGGCAGGTGTCAGATTTCAAAGACCTCAAAAGTCATTTCATTAAGAGATAGTAGCCACAGATGGAGACAAAAGTGCTTAAATATGTGTTATATAAACATGTCCCCAATTCTACTAAGAAGCTTGTCTTGGCAAAGAAAATACTAAATAATTGGATGTAGGCAAGAAGATTAAAGAACACACCACTGAGATGAGTCCAGCTGTATAAGAAAACAACAAAAACCAAACAATGGCAATATAGATGAATTAAACAGATTAAGAAGATATCAAAGGACATTGGTGAGAATATTCAGGAAGTAGAAAAGATCATCAATGTTCTCTCTCATATATATACATATATATGTGTGTGTGTGTGTGTGGCGATGTTATTGTTGTTGTTAGGTACCCTTCAGTCAGTTCCAACTCATAGCAACTCTATGTGCAACAGAACAAGAAACAATCTCTACAATCATTGCTATGTTTGAGCCTGTTGTTACAGCCACTGTGTCAATTCATCTCCTTGAGGGGCTTCCTCTTTTTTGATGACTCTCCACTTTACCAAGCATGATGTTCTACTCCAGAGACTTGTCCTTCCTAATAACACGTCCAAAGTACAT